GTTGGGCTCGGTGACGGCTCGATGCATCGTTCTCGGTCACGTGCTTCCCACGTGTGCGTTCCTCCTACTGGGGCGCATGTTCCCCGTCGTCACGTGCTGCGTGCTACGGGCCCGCAATGGCCTGACACCAGCGCCGGAGCGGATGGGCCGGGTCTTATCCGTGACAGAGAGGGACAGGTGCGAGACATTCAGCGTGCGCTTGAGAATCGCAAGCATGTACTGGCCATACCCACCCTCCACGCGCAACTTCTTGAAAGTTGACATACCGACCGAAATCGTCGCTTTTGCTGAGAGTGATTGCAAGCCGCCGGGCCTGGGCGGCCGATCGAATGACTGCGACCTCATAGAGCCAAGGAATTCCGACACGCCACCACGACCTGCACGGCCACATAGGCAGCCACGGACTGCTCAAAGCTTGCGAAAGTGTCATCGTAAACACTGCCGAACTTATCATCGTCTATGTGGAGCACTTGCTTTAAGATGATTTCGTCCGGGAGGCAGTCGCCATTCGTCCGCTGACCGCCAGCAAAATCTGTATCCATATGGTCGTTTGTCGTAAGAGGGTCACGCATGAGTCAGCTTGACTCGCCCACAGAAAATAGCATCAATGAGTGATGAATGTCGGTGTACAAAAGGGTATGAAGGTATAATGAGAATATATAGACAAATGTGGAAGAGGCAAGCAAAGCAAATAGGCAAAATAAAGTCGACATGAGGGGAGAAGTAGTAATACATCAGTAAAACAGCAAGCTGGTCTTTCACTACTTTGGTCTTTCCCCGCAGTCTTTGGTCTTTTATATCAGATCTTTCATCTTTCGCAGCTAGTCTTTTGGCTTTGATGTAGTCTTTTATCGTTCGAACATTTTGCTTGTCAAGTATTATAATTTCATTCGGAAACTGTAGCTACATATTCCTTTCTCTTCAAGGAAGTTTCCCCCTTGGTCTTCAACAAGATACAAGTTGCACTAGCAAAGGACTTGGACTTGTGCTCGGAGTGGTCAGCCGCAGCAAGTGCTCCACATCAATCAATCACATCACCTGTCATCACGCGTGTAGAAACAGGCTGGCTGGATGGAAGAGGGAACGAAGAAGCACTAGATTATGTAACTACAATACATCAAATATAAACTGGAAGTCCAGACAGAGAGGGGTAGGCGAGTGTGTGGATCTGCTCTCAACACTCCCACTGAGACACATACGAGACTCCCACTGGAGCAAACAGCCGTCTAGAAAGCGTACGTGTCAACCACGGCAGCGGTAGTTGACGTAAAGCGGGGGTCGGGGATAAGTGGACCAGGCTACGTGCAGTTGCGCTGGTAGTGCCCCTTCTGGCGGCACTTGAAACAAGTGATGCGCGAAAGGTCTGTCGACGTGGCGTAGACCTCCGTAGCAGGCGCCAGTGATGGAGGAGTGACACCGAGATTGAATTCCTGACGTTGCTCCTCCGCAATGAGACGATTTACAACAAAGTCCAGGTCGTCGTTCTTCGGGTGGGCATCGAGTGCGATGATGAGCGTGTCATACACGTCGGGGAGGGACATGAGAAGGGTAGCAATAATCTGCGCATCGGAGGGCTTGTCGTTAAACAGACGACCGAGCCGTTCCGCTTGTCCGCGCACCGCCGCAATGTGGGCGCGCATGGACGAGGCAGTGTCAGGTTTACGCAGGCCATAGAAGACGCGCCAGGCGCCAGTGACCGTTCCAAGTCCCGTGGTTTGATGGATCTCCTGCAGGCGCGACCACATGCCTGCTAGATCGACTTCAAACTTATGGACATGTGCAAACTGGGATGGGTCGAGGCGGCTAAGGATGACGGAGACAGCGATGTCGCGCTTGGCATGCCAAGCCTTCACTGGCTTGCTGCCATCAGAACCAAGGGGCCGTGTTTCCGTGCCCAGGACAATATCAAGAACTCCTTTCTTTCGGAGCTCAACACGGGTATCGAAAAGCCAGTCGTCGAAGGCAACGTTGTCGGAGAGCTTCAGTTTCGACGCCGAGTCGGTGACAGCTCTAATCGTGGCGGCGTCCATCAGGAAATAACAACAAGCGACGAGTGGGCTGCAGGACAATACGGGGCCAGTCAACGTGAGAAGAGGCGGGGACAGGAGTCGGCGGGGTCGGGTGACGTTAATACGGGTATAGAGGCCAAGTCGGGTTACAAGTCGGGGTATGGGGTCGTCGCAGTCCCTCGGCGGGTCGACAGTTACTGGTTCCGGTTACGAGGCGGGGTCACGGAAGGGTACCGGGTAGGGTTACGAGAGGTGAGTGCGGCGTCAGAGGAAAGATCCGGGGCCCATAACCTGTAGAAACAGGCTGGCTGGATGGAAGCGGGAACGAAGAAGCACTAGATTATGTAACTACAATACGTCAAATATAAACTGGAAGTCCAGACAGAGAGGGGTAGGCAAGTGTGTGGATCTGCTCTCAACAACGCGAAAATGGCGCCATCGATCGCCCATCGATGGCACCACTTTTCTTTTCTCTTCCCTCCATCTTCCCAGCCAGCGCGCAACTGGCTGCTCAATGCTCCTCTTCACAGCCGCCCACCTGATTCAAGCATGCTCCCAATGCTGCTCCATCGAAGCCCCAAGCTCGCAAGCCTCATCAGGCTCATGTCTCTCACAAGCAGCAGCAAGCATGTCAAGTACCTCACAAAGCCGCAAGCACGTCAAGTGCCTCAAGCAACATCAGTAGTCCTTCAAACTGTGCAAGATACCTACCAATATCTCAAGACTATCCTTCCTCGTCAATACCATCTCCCTACAATACTCAGACGCTCGGACTTGAATGCACATGGATGATGAGGTGAGATATGGTGGGCGATAGGCTGGGATTCCGACTGGTAAGTTGTCCTACTTCTCCATTCATGCCTGCATTCATATCCTCACAGCTGGCTATCTGAAGACTGCTAACACTACTGGGGAATTGTGCTGGGAAGTTGCGGGGGATTTGGCCGGGGGAGTAACCTCGGAGGCTGGGCTAGACTAGAAGAAATAGTAGATTGCGATGTTTGTAGATATCCAATTATGTCTTTCTGTATCTTTCATTGTGTCTTATGAGAAGTATACTAATCTTTCAGCGCTCTTTCATAAGACTTGTGGATCTTTCGCAAGACAATGTGGTCTTGCGGCAAGATAGATGAACCTACTTATGAAAGACATCATGTCTTTGGTCTTTTTCGTCTTTCCCATCTTTCGAAAGACCGGAAAGACAAACATGCTGTTTTACTGATGTAAGTATGCATAACTGCGAGGAGGAAATGGGCGTTGGTGCATCGTTGCAGCTCGGAAGACGAAAGACGTGGGAAGCTTCAAAGTGCGGAAGAGTAAGCCAACTCCATTTCAAGAGCGAAATGCAGATCTTTACTTTGTCCATCGAGCTATGTAAACTAAGTCAGTCAAATAGCTTTCAGGACAGGCCTAATATAACGACAAGGCAAGACGACATTTAGACTGTGACGACCCAAGTCCGGTGAGTTATTGTGAGTAGGGAGCTGTAAGTAGTTATATAGCACAGCCGCAATTCAAAAATGTTTAGGTGGGAAACGTTAGTGGGAATATATAAAGTTTTTTCTTGGCCCAAAAACTCATTGCAAAACATTAAATATTTTGGTCCTAAAAATCCTGTTGCCCCAGCCAAGTCAACATTTTTTGGACAGAAAAACTCAAAGTTTTTTACACAATAAAAAATTAATTACAAAATTTTATATATTCCCACTAACATTTCCCACCTAAACATTTTTGAATCACGGCTGTGCTATTGAGCTCTGGACCCGAGATAAAAGGCTGACCGGCGTACCTGGAGAACATGGCGCAGGCGAATAGTAGACTCGTCACTGCTATATTGATGCCACACCAGCTCACTCAGCCCCAATTTGTTAACATTTGTTAACGGTTTCTTCCGAAGCAGGCGTAATGGCGGAGGACTGTCGTTAGGATATAAGCCTAGGGGGTCATGTAGGGAGGAAGAGAAGGCGATATATCGTGGTGTTTGTGGCGAACCAGGTCTTGCTACAATACAGCTTTCAATTTGGCAGGAGGGAAAGGACGGGGCAGCACATACCATTGAGGCCCAAAAGTCAGGAGTCCACCCCGTCTGCGCTAGGGGGGAGCTACCGACATGAATGAGTAAGCATAGCTGTATGGGAGTGGATACTACGCACCTTCACAAGCGTCTGCGCTCCGAAGTCCGGACGTCTGGCCTCAGCACGATTACGCCGTATCTAGCGAGAAGTTAGCGTCGTAGTGCGTTGGGGATAGCTTACTTACGGGAGTGCTATCGACGCCATTGCAGGAGCTAGACCAGCAGGAAAGAAGAAGGAAGAAAAAAAACGATGGTCACGCTTGTCACGCAGGTCACTTAGCTTGACTTATGACCCGAACACTCAGGCTATGGACGCTGCTGCCTGTGGACCCACTACAGGGTTTGAGAGAAATACCAACCATTCCGAGCTCTATATCTGGCCCCACCCCCACCGGTGTCCAACGAATCTCCGACAAACCGCCTCTCCCCCGACATATATTGTCCAATCTGCCATCTCTGCCACACCCGACAGATCGGCGACAGTTTTCTGCTGTCTTTAGAACGCAGAAGAGAAGCGCGATGTATGTTCTTGGAGCGAAAACACTCGACAAATCTCACATTTACAGGAAAGGCATCTCTTGTCTTCATGTGGATCCGAAACACGTCGCGTTGCTACAACGCTAATCCCGCCTTGTTCTGCTCTTGCTCCCGTCCTCCAGCACGTCTCTCCCTCCCCGTTGTCTTTTCATTCTACGAGCGTAACCCGACTGGACACTGAGGCTTCCGACTCTTTGCATCATTGGCGACCGCCGGCGCCACGTGTAAGTGCGGTATCAAAACACGCCGCGGCCTCGTGTGCTGAATTCCTCGAATAGCCTTCCAAGACTCATGTATACCGCGAGGTCGACACTCTCTTACTGCGTCCAGCCCACCATCCAAAACAATAAGCTCGTCATCCATAATCTATCACCAGCGCAATGGCCACGCACTACCAGCGCCAGGGTCAAAACCAAAGTCGAGCTGCGGGTGCGTGCTGCAGTAGCCATCTTCGCCTAAAGGATGACGCGTCCGCTTCCAGCGACTGCAGGCTCCTCCGGGCGTTACAACCACACAACGAGCCACTCCCAAATCGACTTCCCCTCAGGTTCCCGGCCGCTGCGGGCACAGACGCCACTCACCTCTGTTCCGTTGCGTGACGACTTTGACGCGATTACAACCACGCACAGATGGTCGCGATACACGCGCCCAACGACGGCCGACCCGACATCGGAGGGCTTTTTGGCGCAGCTGGAGGCGGTAACGGCTACGCGAGCGAGCACGGTGATACCCAGACACCACCGGCGGCGGAATACGATGCCTACATTGAGTGAAATTTCGCTTGATATCAGCCAAAATCGACACGCACAAGGTTTACGACGGACGCGGGGGCGCGACCGGATAAAGAGCGGCCAGGTCCAGCCCACACTCGAGTCAGTCTTCTTTTGAAATTTACTTGTTTTCGGCTTTCGGCGCACTTTACTGAAGCCGGGATTTAGAGAAACTGGACTCGACTATGAGATGGTGGAAAATAATATTATCGAGGAGGGGCCCGAGCGCACCGTCTCAATATCCAAGTGGCGCGAACAAGTCATTAGAGAGACCGACGACGACGATGCGATGAGCGTATATTATGTGGACGTGGAAGGAATGGTGCAGAAGGACCGAGGATACTCGACGCGGAGAACACGGTCGGATGAAAATCGCCCGAGACAAGGAGTACGTTTCAAAGCTCTTTTCAGCTTGGCAATCTAACTCACGGTAGGAAACGACACCCGACCATTCCCGGTCCCGCCCGCGAACGCGCACCGAATCGACGCCGCGCGAAAGCGGGACGCTCATCCAGCCGGACCCATTCGCCCTTCCGTCCCCCACCGCGCCATTTCGCGTCCGCGCAAAACAGCCCCCCGACACCGGCAACCACTCGAGCATCAGCAGCATCCAGCTCGCGCCGCCCAAAGCGAAAGACTCGCTCTCCCCGTCGCCGGTCGCGCCCGCCTCGCCCGCGCTACCGTCGCTCGAGACGGTTCTGCGCACGTGCCAGCCGTCGCTGCTGCATATCCTCCCGGTGCTGCAGGCGGTGGGGATAACAACATCAGAAAACCTGCGGGCGCTCGCGCTGCTCACAGAGGAGATGCGCAATCGGGAGGTAAGGGTGGAGGTGTTGCGGATGGGTGTCAGCCTGCTTGAGTGGGCGGTGTTGTTAGATAGAGTACAAAGGGGCTTGTAAATGGGGTTGCTTAACTTACTAGTAGACGAGGTATGTACTAAGTAGTAGTGTGATTGACGAGAGGTCACTTTCGGGCGTGCCCGATGGGCGTGGGCCTGCGCCAACGGGCGTGGATGGGCGTGGGCGTGGGATTTGGCTGACGATCAAAGCCCACGCCCGTCCATCAGGCGTGCCACGCCCATTGGTCGGCTTGGCACGCCCGTTTATCCCGCTTGGCGCCAGACAAACGGGCGTGGGCTTCTATATACCCACTTGTTACAGAGTTTTAACGGAGCTGCAAGGCTTCACACCACACCATCGTCAGTCGGCGGCGAGATCTGCGAACCGTGCGAGCTGGTGGCCAGTGGCCACCGACCATACGCCGGCCGGACCGTGCCGGACCCGACCCGCGACCGACGCAGAGTCGAACGCCGACGGCGCAGCTGACGACGACGAAGAGCACCAGCGGTAACGTGTCGCCGGTGCGCCGGGAAAGAGACCGAGCCATAGCCCGGGCGGGAGAGTAAGCTGCGGCGGCCACTGTCCGGCCTGGAGGCTGGCTCAGGGGCGGGCGCTGGTGCAGCATCGACCACGGCCACGGCCAGTAACTCTTGGCGGGCCCAACGCACCCTTGAGCTCGTGTTCAGCACCCGAGACAGCTTGGCCAAGCCATCTTGGCACCGTGGTTGACGACGATCAGCACATTTTGATGTGTTTTGATTGAAGCCTCCACGGTGATGCGGACAGGTGACCACCACATACTGTAGCATTTTATTCAATTCGGCGGTCACGCGTCACACCGGCCTTAAAATGCCGAATTTTTTTCGGCGGTCACACTCGACAGCCCAGATGCTGAATTCCCTCAGCTGATTTACTATTTTTGGGTGGCGCGGCCCGGCGGGCCGCGCCGTAATCTGCCCAAAATTTTCGGCGGTCACACTTGGAGCCGCCGGACGCCGAAAATTTCATTTCGGCGCCGATGTCACACCAATTTCGAGCGCCGAATTGAATAAAATGCTACAGTAACGGTCGTCGAGGCGTCGCGGTCGCCGCCATAGTACGGGACATAGCCTCCGCGGAGGGTCCCACGCCCGCCCACGCCACGCCCACGCCATCACGGGCGTGCCCGCCCGTTGGCGCAGGCCCACGCCGTTTGGCCACGCCCATGTGCGAGGTCTCTGTGATTGACGAAGTGTGTGATTGACATGTGTGGTGTGACCGACAATTCTTCTCTTCTGATCTTGACCGCGACCATGGCCGACGAATAACCGAGCCCGCCGATTGTTTTCTCGCCATTCTCCGGTGAAAGCCGTGTGGCCATCCGCCATCTACTCGAATGTTGCTCAAATCGACTGCAAGTGTTGCCTGCCAGTGGCTCGGAATCGACTTCAATCGAGCAGTCCAAACGTTAGAACGTTAGAACTTAAGTCGGGCCTCCACTTTGCCAGTGCCGGCGACAGAACTTCCGCCTGGCTCCCATTCCACCCGTCAGGCAAGGCCGGCACGATATCATGGGACGGCCGCGATTTCCGGTGGTATCCACCGAATCGAAGCAGCCCACGGGCGCCAGACTTCGACGAGCGGCTTAGTCGGATTCGCGCGCTGCTGGATATATATCCAGCTTGAGCTCCCACCAGCCCTTTCCCCCGGGTCCATTGCCCTCGCACCTTGCCATGCGCTCAGTCAAACGCGTATTACGGAAATTCCGATCTCATGGCGACTTGAAGCACAATACGGACGACGAATCTGGCGGGTCCGCTCGGCCCCCGATTCCGTTCCCCGTGCCGGCGGACAGCGAGGCGCCCCGCCGTGGAGAAGATAGATCGAACGCGCCGTTTATGCCTGACGCGAGCGCCCCGACTACCAGTCAGCCAAGCGCCGGTGCCGGTATCCCAAATGCGCCGACGCAGGGTCCGGATTCAAAATCACCCCCAGTTGGGCCGCCTGCACTTACCATCCAAACAGCTGGTAATACCGAGCAGGGAAAAGGTTTCTCTATTGTCCATATCTTTCTGCTGATGCTGACATTGTGTTCACAGATGCACCACTTGTGCCGCGAATTGAGATGCCAGCACCGGGGGTGGCAGAACATCCGGCTAAGGCAGGACCACAGGCTGCTGGAATACCAAGACCAAGTAGCGGTATGTTCCTCACGGTCAACCAACAGCTTGAACAGGGCCAAAATCAACAAAAGAAATTGGGTGGACGGATTGAGGATGGTATTGGTATGTGGTCTACCCCTGTGATACCTATTTTGACACCTAATTGGACAGATAATGCTGCAAACTCCAAAGACATAGCAGGATTTCTCGATGTCGCAAAGGGCATTGTTGATAACGAAACCGTCCGTGCCATGGGATCAGCATTTCTTGAGGGAATGCCTGCTATGATGAAGACACTGGAAGCAATCTCCAAAGCACATCCTTTTGTGCAATGTTTGTGTATCACTCTCATAAAGATAATAATGCTAACCATCTATTCTAGTGGCATTTCTGCCATTCAAGTTTGCATATAACCAAGAACGAACTCGACATGACAATGAAAAGTAAGGAATTTACTGATTTTATCTGATCAACATTGCATAATCAATATTAGAGTTCGGATTTCAGTATTTGAATCAATCAAGGATACAATGCATGTCATTATTGAGCATGTCATTTCACATAGTTATATTTCTCCCCAAGCTAACATGGATTACAGAGTAGATGACATTGGTACAACAATCACTGTCAACCGACAGGGTCCAGATGGCAAACAGTATGAATCTCGTCTCGTTGAAGTGTGCAAGGCAATTGGACGGGACATTGAGAAATCTTATAATAGTGGGTGCTCCAGTATGATTGGCCATTATGAAGGCTAACTATTCAAGCCTTGGATGCAATGCAAAAACAGTCCAAGATTGTGAAATTCCTTAATGCTCAATTCTGGCATGAACAACTAGCAGATTTGAAGACAAGATTTGCAACACGTAAAAAAGAGCTTAGTCTGGCATTAGGTCTGAAGGTCTCCAAGGATGTTGCTGATATAAAGTCAATGTATGTCTTGTATTGCTCAAATGTTGGATGTCCGGGAAGCTGAGAGTAATAATATAGGCTTCAACATTTCATGCAAGAGTTTCAGACCTATCGAACAGCACAGGAGGCCCAAATGCACAGTCTTATGAAGTTGTATAATGCAAACCCTAAGGACATTCTTACAGATGAAGCACTGTGTTACAAGCTGCTAGACTTGGAAGATGAAGGAACTGACCACAAGATTAATGCCACTTATGTTCCATCATCCAGTATAACTGCCACCACAGCTGTATCATCCTCAAATAGCAAGGAAGATGAACAGAAGAAACGAAGGCTGAAGGCTTTGCGCAAAGAATTCCAATTAGATGTAAAAACTGTCATCAGAGATAACTTACAGGATTTTTCTAAACGGCTGGCCTTTGGCCTGGAGAAACTAGGTGGAGAGCTGAAGGAGGATATGAACAAGGGATTTGATAAATTGGAAGCTGCTATTCAAGGTCCTGCAAGAAAGGTCAAAGACAGGGTAAGCTTTGAGTTGAATGTTCAAGTTTATATTATTCTAAGACTGAGAGCAGATGATGCGGCATATCTGGATGGATCAAGTATGTATATATGAAACAGAAAAGAGACTGTCATGCACCAACTAACCTTTCTAGGGCTTTAAAGGAAGTGTTGCAACACCAGTTCTTGTTCATGCACTTCGGGACTATCTTATTGACCAGATTGAACTTGTTGAACCCAATCATTCCCAGTATATTGCTATGTCAACATCTATGACACCAGGTCCTAGCCCAAATATCATCTCTGAGCCTATTATTTCCCCTGAAGATCATTGGGTTTTGGATCATCTTCAGATTCAACGTCTTCAGCGTCTTCAAGGTATTTCTTTGTAACTACTTATTCATATGGCTGACCATCCTTTAGAAGTCTTGGATCCAGATGCTTCAGGACGAAGCTCAATTGCTGAAGTAAATTTATTTGTTCAGGCAAAATATCCTAAATGGAGGTAAGCCCTCTGATGATGATTTACTTTAACCTTTAAATCATTTTGTAGCATGCCTCGTTGGATTTCATACTGGTGCATTGGCTGGCAAATATATGCCACCCGTTATTGTACTCAGATTGATGAAATCTTCAACCAAATGCTGCTTGTCAGAGAAGAAATCAAAATCAAGATGCCTGGTAACAGATGGGCAGTAGATAATTATTTGAGCACAGTCTGGCCAATTGTTGCTGGAATTACTAGTGCAGTTGGTCACTTCCAGGGATCTGAATGGCTAGCATCACAATTCACAGATTATATTGATGCACAAGAGGAGAAATTCTTGATAGCACTTGATAAATTCAACTATGACATTGATGCCACTCAAACAGTACAAGAAATCACAGAGACAGAACCAGTTGAACGGGTAAGTAGCTACCAAACCAATGCCAAAAGGGAAACTTTGCTTATTCAACTTTCTAGTGGATCTTGATACTTATATCACTCATCCTACGCCGGCATTTAATGAAGTTCCATCTCTGCCTAACTATAGAGATGAGTGATGATGAGCTCTGGGATGACTCTTGTACACTGCAGTATGTTTTGGAGGTTGCATGGCAAAGATATCAGGATTTACATGGTAAGTAATTTTCAACACAGGCAATGTCTGCATATGTCTGATCACTGAGCTCAGACCATTATGAACATCAACATTTCATCAATGTTGAACAAACAAAGTTTCAGTTGGTTCTCATGTGGACTTGTGAGTTCATATGCACCATCTTCTGAGTCTATGCTCAAAAGTATTTTCTAGTTCAAAAGTAAGTTCAACAATATGAATGATAAAATGACTGATAATACTTATCAAATAGATTACTTTCTGTGGAAAGAATGGAAAAATGATGACTACTATAAAGAAAATCAGATTATCACTGTCAGGGGAACCTCCCTTTCGGCCCCTCGGAGACGATTCCGATTCCGGTCCGACTCCGGTTCCGACTCCGGTGATCGCATCACCGCCTCCG